TTCAAGACTTTTAGGTATTTTTTTTTTCATTATTCTGAATACTAAGATCGTAATTCCAAGATATTTTTATAAAAATTTTCAGGCCTATTCTGAATAATAAACACCATGGGAGTTTGTTCCCTCTACTATAATTGGCCTGTTTATCTCTAAATATTATTACAGTATTTCTAAAATAGTGAAATATGACGCTATTATATAACTAACTTAAATAAATATATCCTTTTAAAAGAGCCTGAAATAAATGAGATTTTTACACAGATTTATAGCCCTAGTTTAGTATTGTCGAATTCTTAAATATTTGTTTAGTAATACAAATTGTATTTTTCAAAAATATATTTTTGACAATTTAAAAAAAAAAATAATAAAAACCGCGATATTTTCGACGTACCTTCTTGAAAAAATAAAATAGAATTATATTAAATATCACATAATATAACCGAAATGTTTGTTTCTACTTGTCAAAATTATACACGTTATTATTTTTTTAATTTTTCAAAAACGATTTTCTAACCCATCTTATGTTAGATGTACATAATATCTATAAAACTTTATGATTTCATTGGATTATAGAAGAAATATTTTTACTTTATACTTTATTTTCTCTATACAAACAGAGCTATCCCAATATATACATATGGGAAATTTCGTGTCAAGTAACCCAACTTTTAAAATCGATATCTTCCGATTTGGATGAAATATGCACCAAGATACCTTTTTTTGCTTAAAAGAAAGCTTATATAATTTCGTGTTATGCGTGTGCGATATCTATCAAAACAATTATTTTTTAACACAAGAATAAAATTGTTTTCAATATTTGGCACTTAATTTTCCCTTATTATTTGAAAATGAACGTTTTTGTTGTATTTTTTTACTCCAAAGGAAGCTAAGACCATTTTCTTTAGGAGCTTTATGGTTACTTAGTAGGATTTTGGTAACAATTTTGAAAGTGTTTGGCAATTTTGAAAAACAGCTTCTTTATGACACGATATCCTGGTGTACCAGATTCCTATTCAGCGCTGCTCAATCCTTTACCCCGTGTCTATATTAGACAAATATTTATCACACCACTTAACAAAACGTCGACAGAAAAGTTTATGTTAATGCATAGGGATAACAAAATGCTGATTTTATCACGACAACTCACAGATAATTTTACTGAAATAATGCTTAATTTTATAAAAACTATTAAAATTAAATGAAAATTTTATAAATAAACACTAATTTCACTAAAACTTATGTTAAAAATCAATTTTAAATGCACAAATTTTACAATACAATGACATTTGTTATCAAGGCAACGTTGTCTAAACAAATGTTAAGATAACACTGTCATAACGACGCTATAACGCTAATAAATGCTGTCTGCACCTGCAAATTTTTTATCATGAAAACAATTTGACGTTCAGTATAAAATAAATATTTGTCTAATATAGACATGGGGTTAAAACGTATACTTTGGTCTCTGGGTTAAACATTTTTTGCCCTTACCCAGCAAAAACTCGGTAATGGGTTATACTTCCATAACCACTTACTTTTCAATGGCTACTACTTACCGCCTGCATTACTTAGAAGTACTCTAGTAATGACTTTCTTATAATCTGATATTGAAGTACTTTATTTTCGGCTTTGTCATTTTGTTTGCACATTTTATTTAATTGCGTGTTAACAATTGTGTCTTACAAAAAAGAAAACAAAATTAGATTTGTATGTGAAAACCATTATTTGACGCGCAATAAAATAGCTAAGCAGTGGTGCAGTGAGTAGAACATTTGACTAACACACCGAAGTCCCTGGTTCGTATTCTAGCTGGCTCTTATTAAAAACAAAACAACTTATTATTAAAAAACAAAACAACTTACTCAACAACTGTTTTGTAAGAGAAATTGCAAGTACTTCTTTAACTCCCTATTTGTAAGCGTGCGTAGAAGTACTTGCCTCCAATGACATCACCGTGTTAAAATAATGACTCAAAATGCTAATGAAGAAGGTTTTATAGCTTTTTAACTCATTACTTTTCAATGTAAATTTTTCCTGGGGTGTTATCCAATGCGAAATTAAACGGCTGTTTTTTTTTTTGTTTACCAAATTGTCATTCAACAATTTTGTGTTTATTATACCCTTCACCATCGTGAGAAGGGTAAATATAAGTTTGTCATTCCGTTAGTAATTTCTATAATATAATTTTCCGACCCAATAAAGTATATATATTCTGGATCCTTATAGGCAGCGGAGTTGATTAAGCTATGTCCGTCTGTCTGTGTTTGTTGAAATCAGTTTTTAGAGGACCCCAGATATCGGCGAGATCCGCATCTTCCATAATTCTGTTAGACATGCTTTCGAGAAGATCGCTATTTAAAATCATCAAAATCGGTCCATAAATGCCGGAGTTATGAGCAAAACTCCGAGACAACCCCTGAAAATTTCATAAAAAAGACAATTTTTTTCATGCTTTGAACAACAACACTGCTTATTCATTGAGTATTTCGTTTCATATTCGGCACAGCCGAATATAGCACTCTTACTTCCCAGCAAAAATTTTCATTACCTACACGCAGAGAAAAAACATGGTTGTGGTAACCAAGTTCCAAGAGCAACATATTATGGTTAAAATTATGATTGTAGTCTTAACATAATATCGTTATTGTAACAAATTTAAAATATCATATTATGATTAAATACCGTTAAAATTATTTCATCATAATATTTTTCTATTTATCATAATAATATTGTTATACATGATCATATTATGATCCAATGTGTTCAAAATTTCATTCAAAACTATGTATCGAAATCAAAATAAATTTTACTGAAGCAGTAAAATTACAGTTTCTAAAAAAAGTAAAAAAAAATATATATATATATATATATAAATAAAGATTACATACTTACAATACTTGAGCACACTTCGCAAATTTCAATTTGATTCACAAAAACATAACTACATTATTCTATGCAAACTGAAATACTTATACATTTAATGCTATAAACCAAATGAGAATTATTCATTTTATTGTCGCGTAAAAAACACACACGAAAAAGTAATCTCTGTGAGCAAAAGTTGTTTTGTTGTTGTATTAATTTGTTGATGTATCAGCAGACATATAACAACATAACATATAATTGTTTTTTATAACAACATAACATACAATGGTTATATAACATAACATATTATGGTTATTTGCAAGTTTAAATGGTTGTTAATAACAGAATATGTTTTCCTTGTTATCAGTATTTAGTTGTTGTAAAAATAATTATGATTCAGTGAATTATACTCAAATTTATAATTGCCTGGAACATGAAAATGTTTACAGTAACTTAAATATTGTTAAAATCTAATTAAAATAACAATTATATGTTTTTGAAAACAATATATTGTTACAGTAAACATGGGATAGTTGTAGTAACCATTTTGAACCATGTTTTTTCTCTGCGTGTAGTAATCTAGAAAGTAATATTGGAATCACGTGGAAACTAATTACTTTTGGGGTGAATAACTAATTATTTTTGTTCGACGAGGTTCAAATAATATGTACCTACCTTAAACAAATTAATAAATGGTTACTAATTTGATTACAAAAACTTTGCGAAATAACTAGTTACAAATAAACCTACAAATATGTTATGTGATAGCTTGTTATTTTGGGCCGACTTTGTATGTAGAAAACAAAAAATTCTCGGCCGGGATTTGAACCCAGGCATTCAGTTGTTTTCTATGTTTCTCACTCCAGCCGCTTACTCGATGCTATATTAACATGTTGCTTTTTGTAATTTTGAGAACGGCATTTTACAAAAATATATAAATGAATGTCATTTTGAAAAAAATAAACAGTATCCAGCAGGGCTCGAACCACGAACCCCCTGTTTGTTAAATAAACGACCTAGACAATTGAGCCATATCAAATCCAAATTGTTTTGTTCTTTACCAGTAGTAACCTATTCAGCTAAATGAAATAATGTGGATGATAATGAACACTCATTACCAAGTAATGTATGAAATAACTACTGGCTATTACCAAAAATTTCAGATTTTTTGCTGGGTAGTACCAAACTAGTATTTTACTAGTACAAAAATCACCAGTACATTGAGTGTGTTTGAAAAATTACTAGTATCATTAGTTCTAGAATCTAGACTTATACTAGTACAATTGGACCCAATTGAGTACTTAAGAACCAGTTAATTACTAGTCCTAATATTCTCTGCTTGCAAGTGAACCTAAACAGTCATTTACTATTTATCTTCTGTTTTAAAAGGAAATTTTTGTAAATTTCCTTCATTTTATGCAAAAAGTTTATTTTGAAATCTTATGTCCTTTAAACTTTAAGGTTTATTCTGTACCCCGTTTCTGTAACTTTTAGTGAGTTTGACATCGAGAAGTGTGAAACAAAAAATTCCATCGTTTCTCGATTTGTGAGTAAAAAGTTTTTCTGTAACTTAAAGTGAGAAGAGGCAACACGAACATAAAAAGAAGTAAACAAAAATTGACAAACGTTTTATAAACGAAGATAAAATTAACAAAATTTAAATGAAAAGTGTTAAAAAATTATCCCAATAAATTCTCCCCTGGCAAATTCTAAATTTATGTCCATGAACATTTTCAGATTTTGCTTCCATATATCGAAAATAAATCCAATTTTCTAAAAATTAGAGAATAATATTAATTTTAATCTTAAATAATTATTAAAACATTATTTCTTTTTCATTATTTTACAGAATTCATGTTTAAATTAAACTTTTTTCTTTCTTTTTTACTTTCCGCACCTTTTTAAAATGTGAGTTTTTTTGACAGTTCATGTGAGAAACTTCTCACAAAATTTTCTTACAGAAACACTTTTACTTACGAATTTCCAATAACTTACGTCAAAAAAAAACTTAAATGACAGATAATTCTCACAAAAGGAAATTACAGAAACACTTGCATGCGAGTCTTCAATTTCACTTCTCAAAAACCTGAATTTGTACTGATTTTTCTTTTAATTTTAAAAGGACACACATTTTTGGATATGTTATCAGTTACCAAGGATATTCTTTATTTTGAATTTACAAAATTTGCATGTAATTTACTATTCAATTGTCTTCATAAATATATATTTATATCTGTAAAAAAGTAATTAAAATACTTCGTTTGGATCGCAATCTTTATTGTCAGCCTTTAGTCTAGCTCTAGCCAATTTTGCCGATAGTTCAGATGAACGAATCGTTTTGTACTAAAGAATGTGAGATAAAGAAAAATTAATTCGCAACTGCAATTGGACATCAACAGATTGTTTACTTACCTCACAGATATTTTTCTGTAATACTATTTGTGATATTAGGCGGCGGCTTTCTTTTTGTCCGAAATAACCCTCTATATCATGGGGCGATAATGCAAATAATTCGGCACCATTAAGGCCACGCAATTTTTTAATGATAACATCAGAGAAACCTTTTCCTCGCAACCATTCCTCGACTTCTTTGGGACTGGAATTTTGATTGATATAAATTTGTGGAGTTTTAAGAATTTCCAAATCTTTGCGTTTTTCTCTTTGCATCAGAGTAAATTTCAGTTCATCATTTATTGTGCTTTGTAGCATCAGAGCCTCATCGTCGGTCTCGAAATCGTTGCGGGCACGCATGGCTAAAAGTATCAAATTGTAAATAAAATATGAAAAATTATAAAAATAGAGTAATGTATTTACCTGCCATGGTGCCTGTGACGGCCATGTTGCGTTTTAAGGTTCCACTAGGAGTATTTGGATCCGATGGTGGAGGCATTGGTGGTGGTATCGGCACATTTGGCATACTATAAGATCTTGGTATCGATGTTCTGGCAGGACTAGGTTGTTGTGATTGAGTTTCACGTTCCGATGGTGGGACATAAGTACTTAAAGTATTACGGTTGTTGCCGTTCTGTTGATGATCTGAAAAGTATGGAAAATAAGCGAATTGAATTGTTTAGGCAAATGATTTTTTGATTGTAAATAAGGAAGTACATGCAGATATTAGGAGGTATGAATATGGAAAATTTAAATCTACATATAACTTGTGGGTCGATGAAGTATGACAACCGAACTTCAGTTACATATATTGCTAGCTTCGAAATAACAGAATGATTTCAGTCTTAAAATCCGCGAATATTATTAATGAATAAAACATTCATTATTTATAAAGTTTTCTAGAGCAACGGCACCATACATACTTGTAGCACTCTAGTCTACATGCATACATATACCGAAAAATAAAATATCTTACCATGTTCCAACACAGATGAACTTAATGAATCGGTATCACGGCCGGCATAGGTAGAGTGTTGATCAAAATTCATCGGGGACAAAATAGTGTGCGGTACGTAACCAATATTTCCAGCCGCATTACGTGCCTTCCACCAGTTGCGTGAATCATCGATTATCTGCAAACATGGTACAAACATACATACAAAAAAAAGAATATTGTGATAAGACAATGAAAACAAAAATATCAATCAAATATGTATGTATGTACATATAAACATATTCTGCATGTGTATGGATATCGCTAATATTACCTCGAGATGTTCACCCTTGGTGACGTTCAATTCTTTATCATTGCTGGCAACTTTATTATAAATGACTTCGGCAATCTTGACATTTCTGGACTGCAAACGTGTCAACCATGTGGCATTATAGCCAAGTCCTGGAGAAGCTGAACCATTTGTTGATTGCGTGTATCCTGTGGACGATGGAATGTATGCTACTTCTTCGTCTACAACCCAATCGGGTGACCACTCATCGTAAAATGTTGGGTGATATGCACCTTTGTGATTTTTAAACTGATCTTTGGATTGAGTCCAATTTGGACCAAGCGATTTCAAAAAATCCAATTCATTGTCGTTTAAATGGGAATTGAGGAATGTGACTGTTTCTCGTCTCAACAATGGATTGACAACATTTTCGACAATTTTTGCACCGACATAAACATCGTTGCATACATTAACGATTGTTTGCAGCGAAACAAACGAATTGTGTATGGGTTCAGAAGGGTCCTGGAAATGGTTTTCCAATTTGGTGACATAATTGAAGGCCAATTTGTGTTTGGCCAAAATATCTGTAAATTCATTTTCGGTGGGTGGGCGAGAGCGTGTTATGAGTAGACCCTCTCCGTGACTGTTGTGTTCGTTTTTGCGAAGTTCTAGTTCACGCAACGCTTCCACCGCGTATTGCAGACGAACAACAAAACGTTCAATGTCCTCGAAACAATGATTTAGAACTTTAATATCCTTGGCTATTTGTTCCTGGTCCTGAGCATTTTTTTCTGCTGCCACTTCGGCTGCTGCATGAGCAATGCCATATTGATCTCTAACTGGTTGCATTGATTTGTCCGCCTTTGGCAATTTAATAGGTGTTTTGTTCCGATCTACTGTCACCATTTTTCCCTTACTAAGAGTTCTTAAATCCTCAACCATATCAACAGCCGAAACATCACTTACCTATTTGTATGCGATGAATAGAGTAATTAATAGTAGAAGTAAGTGTGATGATCAGTTTCTTACCTGAAAAACGTGCATTTCTGCTGTTCCTAGAGTAATACCTGGTACGGTAAATATCAAGATATTATTGTAGATTTCCATTGGATCTTCACTTATGAAGGCTGTAGGTTCGGTTATGAGAGCCCCAGGAAAGTTTTCAATTTCTTTCATGTCACTGTCCAACATTACCAACCATTGTCCACTAAAACACATGTACATTTTCATGGGCCAAACGCCACCGGTTTTATCCAATTCAACAAGTGTTTTTAATTTTTCTTTTGGTCTTCTAATTTCCGCTTCATTTTTTATTTTAAACGTTGCCAAATGTTCAAGGGCATATGTTGGTTTAATATCTGACGAGTTTTGACCATTTGGCTTTGTATTGCCATTCTCGTACCCGTTCAACACCATTTTTGGTTAAAACATTCGTTTTAAAACTATAATCATAATAATAAGATTTCAAACTTAAAAAACTTTATTAAACAAAAATAGAAAATTTACCAATAAACATATTACATAAATATTTATATACGATTTTATTTATAATTTTAACACCAATTTAAATTTTAGTTTTGAACATCTCTACAAGTTAAATGATAGTTTACTGATCTGTTGCTACTAGGATGTCTAAACTGGGAGAAAAAATTGGTCTGGGGACCTATATTTAAAACTCGGAAACCGAAAAATACTACCGTCTTCCTAATCAAAACTCTTAGGATTGTCATAGAATCCAATATTATGTTTTTGGTTTTTTTTCTCGATAATGAATCGTATCCTAGATCGAACACAAAACTAATAATATCAGATTTCATTAAATCTGATCTGATCCTATCAACCCCCACTAGCTTCCAAATAGAAATCCGTGCATTCACAGAATGTGTAATATGGATTATTAGAGATTAAATGTTGAGCCAACAGAGGTTAACATATTTTTCGAAGGTCAGACGACAATTGCGGCGATATCTTCCAATATGGTTATATCTAATATCGTAGTTGACCGTAATAGAGCCATAACTGAATAAATCCATCAGTGGCGATATGAAATCTCGCCAGTCGAGGATAATCGGCAATGTAAGAGCAAATGTACTTGCTATAAAACGAACGAACATGGACGAGAGAATCCTATACGACCACTTAGATTAATAGAACGGTGGGCAAGGTGACTCAAATAAAGCATAACGAGAAGCATCCTCAGAATGACAAAGTCTGAGGTTAGTATTCTTAGTGAACAGGTTTACGAGCTCACCTGTACAAAATTGGACGAAGGGACTGTAACAATTTCTGTCATTGCCAGACATTCGTTATACACATAAATGTATATGGGGAGCGATGTTATCCCACAGAAACACTAATTAGAAAGCATTAAGAAAGTACTCTCAGTTTTTATTTTTATGTATATATGTACATCCCCCATTTAACCTAACCTAACAATCAATATATTATTACAAATTTCCGAAATAATATATTTATTGATAAAGTACTCCTTTCACATAAAGTAATGCATTTAGTCCCCGATTTACGGATAAAAATAATTGTCTCCCATAAAATATCATTACCCATATTATATCTTGATTTATTATAAATTTCGAACACTCTTCGAAATCTGATATTCATCCATATGCGAAATTTAAGTTACAGTTAAACAGTTGTAATGGATTCGGATTTTTATTATTTCAAAATTTATTTATATTTATTATTGCTTTATTTAATCTGGTAATTTTTACCATCTTTTGTATTAAGTTGTTTTATATATAATTTTGAAATTTTAGTACTTTGATTTATATTTGTTTAGAAGTACATAAGTCAACTCAGTTTATTGTCTATCATTATCATTTACACATACACAATCGCGTACACTTTCTTATTATTTATTTATAAATGGTTACCAAATAATTCTAATATATCGTCAACTAAAATGAGAAACATTTTAAAATCTTCTTTTAATCATACCGATAAATTTGTAACAAAATACTTTTCTGAAAAACATCATTAGGACCGATGTTATTAGTAAAATATACAAATTTATTTTTATATTCTGATCTTCTTGTCAATGCATTAGAATGTTAGGGCCGTTTTCATTTTAGTTGTCGATATATACATGTATGTATATGTAGTCTTAGATAAGGTTCATTTTTGTCACTTTGAGCTTTTAATAAAATTCACAATGTCACATAACAGGTATTTTCTAAAATTCTTTAACAATGAAGTAATAATTCGTAACGATTTTGCTTATGAACGAAAAATAGAAATTAATTAAATTTTTACTTAAGAAACGACATATCAACATTATTTTACCTTTAAAAGAAAATAATAAAAACGATAAATTATTATTTAGTAAATGGAAGATAGTTTTAATCGAAAAAAAAAACAATTTATGCACGTTTACTATTTTATTCTTACACGGTCACTGTCAAAAATCGAACTGTTGTCAATATTTTCTTTTCGGATTTTTTCAACAGGTGAATTCTTATCTAAACGCAAAAAAAAAATAATAATAAAAAACACAGACTTATCAATTGATATGATAAATTTCCCTAAATATTAAAATTATTGGTATTTTATAAATTATAATTGAGCTATAGTCGGCTAAAATCATAATAATTAAATCCTTTTCAATATAAATATTATACAAATTTAGTTTATATTTTAATATAAAAGCATACAAATCTAAAAATATATTTATGAAATTCTACATACAAGGAGAAATAAGCCACCACATTAGAATATAAAAACTTTATAATTTCCTAAATTTGTATTATTGTTGTAAGGTGTCATTTGTATCAGTATACACTTATTAAATTCTGTTATCTTTAACTCGAATTAATATATTCTCAGTATCTTATCGTAATATTTATAATAAAAGCGAAACTATGAAATAGAAATATTTTTCTTAATAACAAATTGTTTTGAATATTATTTTTGAGTATGAGTAAAATGTGTGTAGATGAGTACATACATATACAAACATACATACTTACTAGTAAATAGTTTGGAAAATGTTAATTAAAGATTTTTAAATAAATAAATAGTTTATAGAAAATTCATAATTAATATATCAAAGAATACTAGCATTGGACATAAGTATAAATGTGTATATAAAGTTTTTTTTTTAAAAAAAGAACTTTCGGGATTTACAAATCCCAAATACCGGCAATTTTAAATATTTCTACTGATACACAGTGGAATATATAAAAAATAAAAGGAATAAAACTGTCATTTCAAAACGGTTAGTCCGATTTGAACAAAATTTCGCATTCTTAAAGAGTAAGCGATGTCTTAGCTTTAATTACTAGCATTTGAAAATTATACTTTAAATTTTTAGGCCATTTATATTTTGTTTTATTACACTGTGCAACAAGAAAATCTTTCCCGAATGAGACCAACGGGAAATAAAAGTAGACCAAAATCCCTAAAGGATTTAAAAAAGTTAACTCTCGTTTTTCTTTATAGACATTCAAAGTTTTGTAATTTTTTTTTTTTAATTTTTATATGAATGCATGTAACCCAATGAAATAAATGGCGCAGTGTTATAAAGCCATAGGTAATAAAGCCATATGTCCTTATTTCTCAATGAAATGAGAAATATAACCAGATGGATTTATTGCCTACACCCAAGTGCAATATCACCATAAACTAAAAGTAACCAAAGTGGAAATAACGCCATAACAGTGAAATAGTTACGGTTACAAATTGCCAAAAGAATCAGTTGCCAATAATTCCTCAAAATTCAAAAATGAAATAAATCCCTAAAAATACTTTTGGGAAGTTATTTCATTATATTACTTTTATATCACGAAATAAAAAAAATATATGTTTGATAGCCGGCCTTCGGCCGGGCGCCAGGGTTTTCTCCTCTGAGATATATTGGACACCGGCTTCGCTAAAAATACACTTTCCGTGTAACAAGAGCGTTCGACCTTAGGCCGGCTATTTAGGAAATCTTTACTAAGCAAAGCCGGTGTTGGACATATCATAGAGAAGAATGTCCTTGCGCCCGGCCGTAGGCCGGCTATTTAGGAAATCTTTACTAAGCGAAGCCGGTGTTGGACATATTATAGAGTTGTAAATCCTTGCGCCCGGCCATAGGCCGGCTATTTACGAAATCTTTACTAAGCGAAGCCGGTGTTGGACATACCATAGAGAAGAAAGTTCTTGCGCCCGGCCGTAGGCCGGCTATTTAGGAAATCTTTACTAAGCGAAGCCGGTGTTGGACATATTAAAGAGTTGTAATTCCTTGCGTCCGGCCGTAGGCCGGCTATTTAGGAAATCTTTACTAAGCGAAGCCGGTGTTGGACATACCATAGAGAAGAAAGTCCTTGCGCCCGGCCGTAGGCCGGCTATTTAGGAAATCTTTACTAAGCGAAGCCGGTGTTGGACATATTATAGAGTTGTAAATCCTTGCGTCCGGCCGTAGGCCGGCTATTTAGGAAATATTTATTAAGCGAAGCCGTTGTTGAAATGAAAAAAATTAAATGAGCAATAACACCATAATGGTTTTATTTCATTCCTTACATGGAAATAAAGTCATATGGCCTTATTTCTCAATGAAATGAGAAATATAACCATATGGCTTTATTACCTATGGCTTTATAACACGGCGCCGAAATAAATTACACAGTTATAATTGACTACTTAAGGTCTAATAATTAGTTGTTGTTAGAAATTATCAAATTTTACTTGATTAGGTTAAGTTATGTTGATAGGAGGATCTACCTACATCAAATATGAAGGACCTGTTGTTCGCTCCTTTTCATGGAAAATGTTTGTTGGTAAAAACAAAAACCTTATATAGTATTCACTAAATGTATTATCGTCCGATGTTCAGAAACTCAGTTTCCTGGAAGTATTTATTTTTTTTTTATTTATTTATTTAAGTCTATGGAAATATTCCTTACAGACTTTCTAAAAATTTGTATAAGTTTATAATATAAAATGTATTTTAATTATTTAAATTATATAAAATGTTTCGTTTTATAATATCAACATTTAAATTAAAATCTATAAAATCGAACATGTCGTTAAAACAGCAACACAGCTTTCTAAACGGATCTGCCATTGCAAAGTTTGTCCGAAAGGTTTTGACGTATAATGGTGTATTATATCGTAATAGTCGTTGAGGTACATTTAATGAAATCTTATTTATAAGAAATTCAGAGCAAACGTTTCCATTTAAGAGATTTAACATAAATGATACATTAAGCATTGTTCTGCGACTTTTCAACGTTGGTAAATTTAATAATGCAAGTCTTGTTGAGTACGATGGATGTTCACTATAGTTCCGATATATGTTTTTTAGGCAATATATTAGGAACTGTTTTTGAACTGATTCGATGTGGTAAATATGAACGTTATAGTACGGGTCCCATACAACTGACCCATATTCCAATATCGGTCTTACAAGTGAAGTAAATAATCGCTTAGTTATGAGCGGATCATTGAATTCTTTTGACCAACGTTTAATAAAAGCCAAAATACCACGGGCTTTATTGACGGCCATTATTATGTGTTGAAAAAATTTTATTTTGTGTCCAGCAAAATTCCCAGATCAATAATGTTGTTTACTGACATTAATTCAAAATTATTGATATTGTACGAATCTGCCGTTTCAAATCTCCTAGAAAAATGTATATGTTTTCATTTTGCCAAGTTCAGTTCCATTAGATTTAGTTTACACCAGCCGTAAAAGTTGTTCAAGTCGTTCTGAAGATAAATATGATCAGACGAATGTTTGAAACTTAAAAATATTTTTACATCGTCGGCAAACATCAATATTTTAGAATATTTTATAGCATCGGGCAAATCGTTTATAAAAAGTAGGAACAAAATTGGACCAAGATGGCTTCCTTGTGGAACACCTGATTTGACCAATATTGTTTTGGAAATGGTAGTATTAAATTTTATTGACTGCTTTCTATTTATCAAATATGATCTGAACCAGCTTAAATATGTCGTATCAAAACCCAGAATATCCATTTTCTTTAACAAGAGTTGATGGTTAACTTTGTCGAAAGCCTTGCTGAAATCGGTATAAATGGCATTGGTGTGTTGACCATTTACGAAACCTTCATTTACTAAAGTTGTTAGTTGAAGAATATTTGTCATAGCAGAAAATCCTTTGCGAAAACCATGTTGGAGGGGTGTGAGTAAGGGAGATACTTGGTGAACAAGGTTATCTGTCATACATTTTTCGAAGAGTTTAGGAATTGCGTTAAGTTCAGCTATGCCTCTGTAGTTTATAATATTTGATTTTTTGACAGACTTGAATAGGGGGATTATGTAAGATTCTTTCCAAACTTTCGGAAAGTAGCCAAATTTTAATGAAATATATAGTGCTAACGTCATATTCGGTATTGGAATACGTAGATGCAAAGAAATCTGTGAATAAATTACTAATTTCTGATTCATCACTAGACTCCTTATTTAAGTATTTCATAACTTTCGGAGTGCCGCATATTTTCCTTTTTGAGTTAACAAATGTGAAAAATGACCGAGGGTCGTGTTCAAAATTCCGTTTTACTGTAGATAAATATTTATCATACAATTTTATATTCAGCAAGTTATATTTCGCTCTGAGAAGAGAATAATTAGTATAGTCAACGGTTGTACCTGATTTCTTGTATTTTCTATAAAGTTTATTTTTCATATTTTTTAAGGAAGATAGTTGTTTTGAACTCCAGGGTGGACCAGTCTTTGAATTTGGTATACGTTTTGGAATACAATCATTCATATATTGATCCATGATCTCATAAAATGTTTCAATCATTTTATCAATTGAATTAGGCATACCATTTGTAATTGTCAACAATTGAAGCCAATTTGTATTATTTAAATAGTTGTTCAATTCGCGATAGTTAGCTCGTTTGAAACAGAAGACTTTATTTCTAATAACATCATTTTTATAACAAAAAGAATTCTGAATGTTGCAGTTTATTTCAATTGTGGGGTGGTAACGATCTTCAGGGAGTGTAAGTGGTTCAAAACGATTTATGGTACATTCATTTGGTGCATTAACAAATACCAAATCTAAAAGTTTACCAAAGATATTGTAAATTCCGTTAATTTGATATAGACATAATTTCGAAATGTTGTTGTATACATCATCACTGTTATCGTCCGATCTTATGGGTACATAATTATTGAATTCAGTGGAGAATTGCCAAGCTATTTGAGGTAAATTAAAATCATCTAGAACGAAAATTAAGTCAGCAGGATTAGTCTTTATAGATACCATTTTAATTGCAGCAATGTGTTGTTGATAAATTAACAAATCTGATTGAGGAGGAATGTATGAACAAGTAATGAATATTATAGGGTAAATCAAGTTTTATTTCATCGGCCGAAAATTTGTTGAAAATAGCTATTAAAAAGTAATTCCTAAGAATTTTTCAATTAGTGTTCGTTAGTGTTCGTTCCTCTCTAATGCTCTACATTCGTCTGAATCCGCACGTCCATTGTTGTTGTTGTTGCCCGTAATCCTGTGTGTCCTCTCAGAATACGTATCATCATACTAACATCAGACTTGTTCATTTTGAGGAGGCTTCTCGTTCGGCTCTCGTTACGGTTACCCCATAGGATCTTTTTGGCTCTACTCACGGATTCATTATTCCAAGAGGCCTTATGGGTTCCTCTCACCCATAATTTTAATTCTCCCGTTGCGTCAAATGTTTTCGCGTTCGTCAGGTTAACTACCTCGAGCTCCCTACTCCCGAGTGTTGTGATTAGGTAAACGGTGGTATATTTTTGTTTCTGGGTCTTCAATATAAAACACAAGGCATACTTTGTCTTCTACTGGTATTTGCACTAAAATTCCGCTTAACTAAGTCATTCTATCTGGGATCAGCGTTTCAAAGTACTAAGGCCCATTTCATGCCTATGGTTCATCTACATAGCGCCCAGCACCGATGTGCCTTGTTAATCATTTCCTCTATGTGGTGCCTCCATCTTAATTTCAGGTCAATGATTACACATAAGTACTTAACTCTGTCTATCACCGGTATATTCTTGCCTAGGAAACAGGGTTCAATATACTTAGAAATGTTTGTCTTTCTTGTGAAAATACATATTTCCATCTTCGCCGGGTTAACATTGAGGCCTCTAGATTGAGTCTAGCTTAAGGTCGTGTTCAGAGCCTCTTCAGCCCTTCTATACAATTAATTTGATAGTACGACATCGTCTGCATAGCAGAGATGTCTAAGTCCTTTCTCGGTTAGGGTTCTTAGGAGGCTATTTATAGTACTTACCTAGAGTAAAGGGGACAAAATGCCGTTCGTGGTGTACCGCGAAATACTGAATGAAGAACAATAAGTCAGAGTTCTATGTTAAGGGATATGCATGTTTATATACTTATTTTAAGGTGTGTATATGGATCCTATTGGTAAGTGGGTCCTGGGTCCTGGCAATGGACCCAAAAAAGCAAGATTTTTGATAACTGAATTAACCTGATTTGTGCTACTAAATTTGTATCTTTAGCTACCAAAGTTTGACTAATGAAAGTGGCTACCAAAGTTTGGCTAACGACAACGGCCTTGGCAACGTTCGCAATACGGGGGATAGTTGATATCTGGAATGACCTGATTTGTGCCATTAAAGTTCTGTTTTAAACGGATAAAGTTTGGCTAACGACAGCGGACCTAACAAAGGGCGCACCGCGGAAGATGATTGAAATGTATTTTTTGTGCAAACAATAATATTTTTTAACAAACTAAACATTTTTAATTTTTTTATTATTCTAATTTTTTTAACAAAATTTTTATATAAACAAAACAAATTTTTACAGAAAAGGTATGCGAATAAGAAAACAAAAAAATTATCAGCTGTTCGATTGCATATACCAGTTTAGTGTACACTGTGCTTAAATAAACAATTGACAACACTAAACCTTCATACAACAATCGAAAAACATATGAAAAACTGTCGTGGGAGTTTCATAGAGCTTTTGCATAGAAAATACCAATAACATTGTTACGACTATTGTAGCAGCTGCTGACATACTACACATACAATGCTACAACATCGATTGTGAATTGAACAATTATTTCCTTTAAAGTACTTAGTTCAAAAACAATGAATATGAATAAAGATATTCACCCTATGCCTATCCAAGTCCGTAATTCAATGCATCTGATGTTCTTCTCAGCACTCCACTATTTAAGAATTGTTAAGTATAAGAACGAAGAATAATCTAATATGAGCATATACATATACTACATATTTGATTTTTATAAACTAAGTGTCAGTTTTTCAGAACCAAGTCTTATTTGTACAATAAAAATCTAGTTGACCAAACTGTAAACATTTTATTTCTACGTGTATGACTTTTAAAAAAGAGCATATAATTTTTCAACATTGCAATGTTGACAATGCATTGTCATAAAAAAATTACTTGTACTTGTAATACAATTATGTCTTCTTAATTGAAAAAATTATTTTGTTTTATAACTTGACTAATTTTAAAACATGCAAATTTAAGTTTTTTTTAAAGGTTACATAAGCAAAAAACTTGTAAAATATACAATATTGTTATTGTTAAAATTGAGAGTGTAATGTTATTTAATTACTTAATTTTAATAAATATTTCATAATATTTACCATAAATTTTTAATTATTTACTTTCATTAGGGTGATAATTTAAGTCAAATCGGTTATATTAATTTTATTTACTTTCTGGTAGTAATTTCCGGTTAATAAATGTGTAATAAAAAGTAAAATTTTGTATTTTTCCTATCGTATTTGAAAATTTCCAAGATGAAACAATTTATTAAAATCACACCCTAATATACATACATACATACTTAGATGCTTAAATATGTGAATAATGTACATTCATGTGTCATGTAAACTCTTATTAATTACATCAACAATGGTTTAATTGCAACAGCAGCGTGATATTAACAATACAAAACTTGTGTTAAATATAAGTCTGCAAAAGATTTTTTGAAGCAGAATCATTCATTATTTTTATTATAATATACATATGAACATATATATAGACTATGGTTTGACTTTTTGACACTTTTAAAAAATATTAAGTTTTACATGTCCAGCCAAAAGGGCAAACAACAATTGTATAAAATCGCAGCAAAACCAAGGTAATGACTTGTACATACTTTTCAATGACAGCTACTTACCGTCTGCATTACTTAGAAGTACTCTAGTAATGACTCTTTTAATCTTATATAGAAGTACTTTTTTCAGCTTTGTATTTTTTTGCATATTTTATCTAATTACGAGTCAAGAATTGTGTTTTACAAAAAAGAAAACAAAATTAAATTTGTATGTGAAAACAATTATTTGACGCGCAATAAAATAGTTAAGCAGTGGGGCAGTGAGTAGAACATTTGAACAAATCGAAGTCCCCGATTGATATTTTCGCTGGATCTTTAAAAATCGGGTAACATTTGACTAATGAAAAGTGGTATAAATGTGTATGCAATTAAATAGTATATAGTTTAGTAACTTTAAAATTTCTAACAAATCCTATAAAGACAGGACCACAGGACCTAGCCTCTTGGTCCGTTGTAGAATATCTGAGGGTATCATCACGTCTGACTATATGTGCTTTCCTAATTGTTTGATTTTGGCTGACGTAACAATAGCAAATATAACTGTTTATATATAATTTATTTACTTGTTTATAGTAATTCCCCTAATCTATTAGTTATTAATAATTCAGAGAATACTTCAAGCCTTTAACATCAATAACATGATAAACAAAACGTTTAAAATATGTATGTATGTTCATGTATGTATATAAAGGGACATTATATTGCATCATCAAAGTATAAAGAATAGAAAAATTCATTCACAAATAATGAGCCTAAATATCGTGACCCTATATTCAAAAAGTGCGAACTCAATTTTGGGCAAAGTGAGTTTTTGATGCAAAAGGATTCTTCAATGCATGATCCACTTCTGGTATAAATTTTAAACCAAAAAAGTAATTTTTACACTTTTAACAACAATTTTTGTTAATATGCTATCTCAAAGTTAAATTTTTATTGAAGAAAATAAGTGCTAACTTCCATACAAATTTTACAACATTTTTTAAAACTTCAAATTTATTTTGTATATTAACAAGATGAACATGCTGAACACAAAACAGGTGAAGATTAAAAAATTGAATGCATATAGTTTTTAAGATATGATCATTTATATATTTGTATATAAAACCAGTTTTAGACTTTAAATAAAGTTTTTCCGAAAAATGTAAAGTTATTTCTGAAATCGTTTATAACACTATAATATTCTATGGGTCTAATTTAGAATTTTGATTATAAAAAAGTCTTTAAATGTGCAAATTATGGAGTATTATTCAAAAAATATTGGTACTTTTTATATTCAAAAACTTTTCATAATTTAAAATATTTGTACTTAGAATAAGGAATAGTAAACAAGCAGATATGCCATGAGTTTTTCTACTTAAATGGTGTAAATGCATTTTATTGGACTTACTGGTTTGACTTATATCCCTTAAAAAAACATATCATAAAAGTATAAAATAATGCATATTATTAGAAGAAATTTTTGTTCTATTCTTTGAACAAAACATGCTAACTTAGAACAAATATTTGTTTTTTTGTCGACCAAAAAGTGCTATCTTAAATAAGTCGCTAAAATGTGCAAAATATTAAAAATTTTTCATAAGTAAGAATTAGTAAGAATGTTAAAAACGTATTATGGAAGAAATATTGTCTTAAAGTGCAATATTTCATGAATTAAATATTTTTTTTGCTTTCCTGAAAACTAGACTTTATTGATTTAGCACTTTTTGAATATAGGGTATCGATATATTATTTAATGATGTCATACATACATACATGCATGCATACATACATACATACATACATACATACATACATACATACATACATACATACATACATACATACATACATACATACATACATACATACATACATACATACATACATACATACATACATACATACATACATACATACATACATACATACATACATACATACATACATACATACATACATACATACATACATACATACATACATACCCCCATTGCAATTGGAGAGTTCAATTTCACAACTTTAAATTTAATACTTAATCCGATCAGACCAGCAGTTTATTACCGCTAGTTTTATTTTCAATATAATTTTGATTCTGCCCCACTGAGAATTGCCTTTGTTTATACACCCCTCAATTGAAATACAATTTTTATTTAAAGATTATTTGCAGAATTTAAAGTAATTTTCACTTTAAAAATTAACATTTTATTTAATAAAAAAAAACTAAATACATATTAAAAAAAATTAAATTTAGAGTAATTATTATTTTTAATTAAATTTTTTTAAGTATTCCGTGCATTCAACCATTGGATTTCTGAAAATAATAATGTGGAAATATTTAGCAATTTTATAAATTATAATATTTTTATAAAGAAATGTGGAGCAATTCTTTTAGATTTTATTTTTTTCTGCATCTGATTAAGAATGATGCTGAGTATATTTCAAATTATTAAGTGACGTGAGTTAGGACCGTGCAAAATTGCTTTAAATAGTAGTTATTTTTTTAATATATTTTATGATCTACTTACGTTTTGGATGAAATTTTAAATATATTTAGAGGCACTCGTTGGAGGTTTGAATTAAGGCAAAGTAGATCAACAGCTGATATAGTTTTCCATTTTGATAAATCCAAATCATTTTGATCGATTTCACTTTGATACCATTGGCTTAATTTTGAAAATTGTTCACCTAAAAAAAATTTACGATACATACAATATATATTTTTATTTTTTTTTTGTGTTTGTGTAACAATATTTAATTAAATTAAGCAAGTGTTGCCTTCATTCTTTAAAAAATGAGGGAGAATCAAAATATAAAATATAAAATATAAAATTATGTATGTATGTATGTATGTATGTATGTATGTATGTATGTATGTATGTATGTATGTATGTATGTATGTATGTATGTATGTATGTATGTATGTATGTAGTATGTATGTATGTAGTATGTATGTATGTATGTATGTATGTATGTATGTATGTATGTATGTATGTATGATGTATGTATGTATGTATGTAGTATGTATGTATGTATGTATGTATGTATGATGTATGTATGTATGTATGTATGTATGTATGTATGTATGTATGTATGTATGTATGTATGTAGTATGTATGTATGTCTGTCTGTCTGTCTCTGTATGTCTGTCTGTCTGTCTGTCTGTCTGTCTTCTGTCTGTCTGTCTGTCTGTCTGTCTGTCTGTCTGTCTGTCTGTCTGTCTGTCTGTCTGTCTGTCTGTCTGTCTGTCTGTCTGTCTGTCTGTCTGTCTGTCTGTCTGTCTGTCGTCTGTCTGTCTGTCTGTCTGTCTGTCTGTCTGTCTGTCTGTCTGTCTGTCTGTCTGTCTGTCTGTCTGTCTGTCTGTCTGTCTGTCTGTCTGTGTGTCTGTCTGTCTGTCTGTCTGTCCCCCTTTTCCCTCGCCTTCGTCCTTCCGTCTGTGCCCCTTTCCTCCCCTTGTCTTGCCCCCTGCGCCTGTCCGTGCTCGCCCTTTACATGGACACATTAAATCGACTCAGAAAGTGATTCTGAGCCGATTATTATACTTTAAGGTAGGGTGTTGCAAACATCAGCAAACGCCTAATACCTACACTACTATAGTGTTTAAGGGTTTAAAAAGCACAAAAAATATGTCTTGTTTATTGTACATGATAAACTAAGTTGGGAGGTATAATATTGATTTTGTCATTCCGTTTGAAACACGTCAAAATATTGGTGGTAGACATACAATGATGCAGTTTGTTTGTTATTAAAAATTGACAAATTAGGTCCTATTTGGTCCTAGTCCCTATATAAGATTCCCTTTATATAATTGTTTTAACGCTTAAAATTTTTAAAATCCAAGTAGAGGAATACAATTTCACGTAAACAAAAATTTTAATTCCACTATATGCTCCTCTAACAGAAAAAACTTAATTGTGCCTCCTGGAAGCTAATTTTTATTAAAACCCATCTGAATATTTTTAGATACGTATTTAATAAGTTATAAAAGTTTAAATTTTTCTTTGGTGATGAGGGTGCTTTCATTTAGAAATCATTTAGTAATTGCTTTATACATCTATGGAGCTAATTTTGATCAAGTCCATAACAAATTTATGTGAATTTTATGGGGCATATGGCGAATTATTTCGCAGAATGATTTATTGATACACAAAACATATATGTCAGATTTTATCCGGTTATATTTATATTTATGACATATATAGGATAAAGTTATTTAAGGAAGTGGACTTTATATGAGAGCTATGACTAATTATGGACTGATTTTATATTTTCAATTTTCGTTGGAGGATCTTATATGACCGATATGACTAATTATAGACCGATCAGGAAAAAATGGTAGAATCGTATATGTACGCACAAAACATATTTATGTCGAATATTATTCTAATAACTTTATTTCTTAATTAGTTATGTATGTTCATGTAGGTGATTTTTGGAAGTTGACCTTATATGGGAGCTAAGACCAATTATGGACCGATACGGACTATGGGAAATGTTCGATCGATTGTTTTGATTTTGAACCACTGATGGTGGTGGAAGGTATAACAAGTAAGAATGTATAGGCGGTTATGGCCAACCATTTGATACCCTACACCAGTGAATGTGTTAAAAATCTGTATTATTTTTTATACCCTGCGCCATTATAGCATTTTTGTTGATATTTGTAACACACAAATATTAGTCCTACCACCCACCTTAAAACTTAGTTTTATATAAATCTAAATGATACTGCCGACCTTCGTAATGATCGATCCTTATTTGCCCTTACCCCCAAATAACCCCTGATTTAGAAAATGTCTACCCGAAACTATAATGGTGTAGGGTATAACAATTTGTAAATTAGTCTTTGCAAACTTAAATTGACAATTCTAAACAATTCTAATTCTAAATTCGATAGAATTGCTGGACCCTCTTTTGGTTCAGAGATAAACTTATTAAAGCTATGCATGTTGTTAGATCTTGCAGAAAATGTTCAGTGTCAACTTACAAATTTTGTCTTGCAACGTTGTCAGAAATAACAATGATTGTGTTGCAAGACAAAATTTGTACACTGTTGTTAGACATTTCCTGAAAGAAAAATTGTAAGTTCACACGATTGTCAGACATTTTCTGCACATTTTACTGACAACGTTGTAAGATCTGACAACCGTGTATCACAGCTTTAAGACTAGTTCCAAGAATAACAATTTCATATAAAACTAGAATGAAATAATTTATTTCATTCTAGATAGATAACTTTTTGGGCCACTCTAATATGGAAATACATAAATATTAAATCTGTCACATAATGTGACTCACATTGAAAGACACAATTCAAGAGTTTGATAATGCAAAATATTTGAAAAGTGTCATTAAAAACTAGTCTTGTAACCGGTCCAGCATGGTATTCATTTATGGTGTATTAAATTATGCAAAATCAATGTGTATGCTCTTAGAATAAACTGTTCATTAAAATTTACAGTGTATTCCATTAAATTGTAATGAACATCAGGTGCATTAAATGAACTGACCATTGAACGAATATAAGATTATCAGTACTATTCATAATTCTTTTTATTATATATTATAATATGTACTTGATATTGTCCCAGTATTTGCATATCGAATGGCTTTTAGTTTATAAAATTTCCACCTAAGATTTTGTGCACTAAATTAACACGTTTTATGAAATTTCCATTTGTTTCTTTAATTATAATAAATTAGTTCTCAATGGGATCCATTTAAATTAAATGTGTTTGTTAAGGGCAGGTCTAATGTGCTAGTATGTATGTGTTCAGTTTATCCATAAATACATATGGGCATGTCAAGTGACCCAACTCAAAATTGGATTTTGATTAAATTTACACCAAGGTTAGTTCTAGGTTAGTAGGCCAAATACAAATTTTCAGCTCTATCGGTCAAGAACTGCCGGGATGCGAGTGGGATATCTATAAGAAAAAATATTTTTTAACTCAAGAATAACACAGTGATACACGGTTCTCATATACTAATTCCAGTATATGTGATGTTCCCAGAAATAGAGCCACCTCCTCCTTCAAAGTTTCTATTCACTTAAAATCTCTCCAATGAAGAGTTGAGTTGGAAAAACTAACTGAAATTTTGTATTGATCTGTTATGAATATAATACAATTATTTTTTCAATAATTTACGGGTCGCTATTCGTAATTTAAATGTAATTTTAAATTAAGCTATATAAAAAGGTGTGCCATAAAATAGAGCCAGTTTGCAAAAATATCAAAATTTAACAATTTGTAGACGATTTTCAAATTGAAACCGATACAAATAGTAAGTTTAATCCTAATATAATATAATTAAAAAACTTTAATTTTGAGTCCTAAAAGACGCAGAAACAAACATTGCAGGCGGAAATGAAGAAAATGATAAAAATACGACATGTTCAAGGTAAGGGGCTATAGGCAAATTGTTGAGATAATTCTTTGGTCCAAGAAAATAGTATACAATGTAGAAAAACATAAGTTTAAAATATTAAGAAAAAATAAGAAATAATACCTCATTTTGGAGCAAGAAATATGGAGTCATGTAAACAAATTGCGCTTTTGAGGACACAATAATGGGAATTTCCTTAAAAAGTGCTATTTCCCATTCAGCATAGCATTATTATTTATAATTATGGAATATTTACATTCCTATCTTCTTTCAATCCAAAATAGAGACCATGTTCCAAACGAGAAAAAATAACCCCATATCATTACGTATCCGCCTCCATGTTCAATGATATACATAGGGGACAAAACGATTCCTGCTCAAGGAGAGATTTCAAATGTTTTTGATACATTTTATTTTTTCTTTCAGGATCTTTAAAGGATCTTTTACCATATAATACTTTGCTACTAATTTTATTCTTTAAATTATGTATGTATATGGGAGATCTTACTATCAAGTTGGCAACATCTAAGTTATATTCCCTTTTAAGGGTTAGAATTATAACACCGTCCAACAGCATTTTTTAAAAATTGAGGTACATACAATTTTCAAAAGTTTTTATAAAATATTTTTAGTCACCCTATTATAACAATATGGGTATCAAACTAAAGAGGACAATTCCAATATTTATATCTTGCATTTTGTTTTATTTTTTAAGAATGAAAAGATATTAAAAATATCCTTTTAAAAGTTCATATTTTATTATCCTTGAAATTTTATAATAATTTTTTTCCAAGAAATATATTTATAAAAATGGTATTAGAATGGAGTACATCACTTTCAAATTTGTTGCTCATATCTGTATTTGGATAATTTTTATTAAATTATCCCAGATAATAAATTAATAAATTGTTCACATCAAAAAGCTTCAAAATGTTTTTTAGCTAATAAAACACCCTGTAGAAAAATAAATAGAACTGAAACTGAGAATAAGAAATATTACTCTCTCACATGTACAGGTTCTGTGTGAATTTAATACAATTGTATGAGTATTTTTATTTTTGTTTACATAAAATAACAAAAATATGAAAGTACAAAATGTATCCGAATACATCATACCCTACCACATTGCGAGTAAGTAGCAATAAGTTATTTAGTATTTTTTAATGTAGAAGTTATATTCAAGAGATTGATGTTTGCTTAATTAATGAATGTACTACTCATTATAACAATATATAGTCAAAATTTGTTGAGTCGAATTTTATAAATACCCTATTCTTGTATAGCATGTACCGCTTACAAAA